CAGCATATGTATGCTTTTTCATAGAATTTACATCTTTTACGAAAAGTACAAGAAATGCCAAAAATGTGTTGAGTCTATCTCAAGAATTTCAACTTATTGTATTCTTAGAGTCCAGCATAAAGTACTAAAGTGGGGAATTTAATGTATTGTTATATAATACTTCTCCACTCAGAGCTTGCATAGACTATCAAGACTTTCGAAGCAGGAAATTTGAATATCAGCTGTGTTCTCTCTAGGTTTCGAAACACTGACTTTCGAAGTGATCGATGGACATGTTAATCGCTTACACCGTAAAAACACATAAGGAGTGATAAAAACACATAAGGAATGATGTCACAACTCTTTATATCCTTTTAGGGGAGAGGCATTTTGTTCAGTCCACCAAATTTGTTTCGAGGTGAATTATCCTCCATTACATTTTAGTTCGAGCATCTCTCAGCCAGATGTGTCAAAAATGAATTGTGCCTGCACCGGAATTTGAAAACGTTTATCTTCCAGTTAATATATGGACATACATACTAACCGTTTACACCCAAGAGAATGAGCGGGGAAATGTGAAAACTGCTTACAGGCTAAAGTCAATCACTTAAAAAAAGGACATCAACAGAAAAAAAAAATTATCGGTCAAGACTTCATATTTAAAAATGAAGCAAAATTTTTGGATGTGATATGAAAAATTATTGCAAATCTTTACTCTTCTTCAAAGACTTCAAAAATTAAGAACATCTTTAGTGGAAGAGTGGAATTCACATCATATTATTTCTAATTTAGCATACTTTGGTAGGATAAGTCACAAACTTATCCTTCTAGATTCAAAATATTTGGTTAAATTTAAAATAACTTTATTTTTTTTCATCTCATTTTTCTAAAAGTTAACTGCAAATTTTATATTTAAATCTGATATGCTTTTATAATTTAGTTATTATTATATTGTATATTAAAATATTCACGATCTAGAAAATTTCAGCCCATCAGCGGCCGGGCGGTAAAGTCGCTGAACACTGGTAGTTCGGTCCGAGGCTTGAAGTTGGTAGTTCGGTCCGAATGGGCAGGCTGCATGGGCGTTTTCGTGGTTTTCCCCATGTGTAACGTGTATACGAGCTAGTTTCCCTTAGAAAGTCCTCCACGAAGGCATCCCTCCCCTTAAGCAGGATAGCCCTAGTGTGTTTTGCCATAATTAAATAAACTAAACCAAACTAGGAAAATTTCATTCAGTTTTCTCGAATTATGTTTAAAACATTTTTTAGTTTAAAGATAATTTTGTATGTCGATGGGTATACGTGCGCTAATGACATTAATTAAACTGAATATAGATCCGATTTAGGATTAAAAAGATATTACTGAGATTTCAGTAAATAAAAAGATTTCTTAATCTTAAGTATCTTTAATTGACGATGTACTGCATCTTCCCTGGGTATGCAAGTGCAAACGCACAAATATTTAACAACAAAGTAATAAAATTCCTATCATTACAAAAGCCTGTATCTGAGCACACTGACTTTATTCATATGCACTTGTATGGAAAATATACTACACATGACTTTTTTTATATCTGACCTTGAATCATTTTTGACCTCGGAGCAGATACTATACATAAAAAATGGTTATACACGAAAATTAATGCGGAGATCATCGATATTTGACCTTGAATAAATATTGATGCTGATGATATCTTTTTTTTTTTTTTCCAGTTGGGAAGTGTAGAGGTGTATTTTAACTTATGGCAATCGAACAATGTCAAAAAACCTCGATGTGATTGATCTACCTGCGTATCTTTATGAGAATTTATTCTCTCAAAACAATGGTATTTTCGGTAATTCCTTTTGTTGATTCTTCTCCTTGCAGAGATAATTAATAGAAATTTTAACTACATGCTACTTAATTTCACATCATTAAATCCCCCCTTTTTAATACATGTGTTTTTGAATAAAACTTTTGCTATGCATCTTGAATTATTTTTATTGCAGGTGTTCGCTAATACACATTTTGAAAAGCAACAAAATGTGCAGAAAAATCTCATTTAAAATGAATTCAATGCACACGGCAATAAGTTAATGTGATGAAAGAAACTGCTGTAATTTTCTTATCTAATCAAGTGATTAAACCAGTTAATGGAATTTTTTTCTTCTATTGCTATGAGAAATTCTTTGTCATGTGCTTTCAGTGATAAATTTGTTTTCAATACGCCATTCTTGTCAAAACAGACTTGAAAAAAGCGCAATTACATAAATAAACAGTGTACTATCATCGATATTCCTGATATATAACCCACCAGCGACCGAGCGGTAAAGTCGCTTAACACTGGTAGTTTGGTCCGAGGTTCGAATCCAGCGAACGGGCTGGCTGCATGGGTGTTTTCGTGGTTTTCCTCATGTGTAACGTGTGTAAGAGCCAGTTTCCCTTAGAAAGTCCTCCACGAAGGCATCCCTCCCCTTAGACAGATAGCCCTAGTGTGCTTAGCCATAATTAAATACACCACATCATGATATATAATTGAAATTTTTCCATGAGATAGAAATCATTGTTCCATTCTAATGACAGCTAAGTTTCAGGCACACACTCGAGCGCAAAATTAAGAGAACTTGCACATTATGTCGAATTTCTGAAAAACTAATCCACAGATTTTAATGAAATTGGGTAAATATATATATATCTATTACAGACAAAGAAATGTATCATTCAAAAGTCACTTTATGTACGCCTGATTATCAGTAAAACTCATAAAGCAGAAATACCCAAAATACACATTGTGATATCGAACTGAAAATTAGTCTAATATAGGGTATGGTTTCCTCTCATAGCCAGATAGGTCGTAAACGTGACGGCGTACTGTACAGCAGGTAGTTGAGGAGTCTCTGTGATAGTCAATCCCACTCCTGCAGCAAGGTAATTTGCAACTTCGGAATGTTTCTTAGGGGGGGGGCGGAAAGATAAAATTGTTCTTCCAGGAGCGTGCTAGGCATGGTTTATGGGATTAAAGTCAGAAAATCTGGTTTGCCAATCCATGGCCTCTATAATGTCGCAACGAGGGCACTGGGATCTCCTCTTTATACCTCACAGCAGTCAGGGAGCCTTTGTTAAACACATACAGGAGTATTAATTTAGAAGTCAAACAACAAAAATCAGCGTTATATTTTCAAATTTTCACAGGACTAGTTTCTGTGGTTTTACCAAACCATCATCCTCAGCTGCAGAAGCGCAAATGAACGAGATAAGATATAATGATTAGATAGGATATAGTGATTATTTTTCTTATCATCCCTTAGGCAGGTAACCCAAGGGTACTTTACCATAATCAAATAAACTTAAACTTTACAAATGAGTAATTTTCATTTCTGAAATCTTAATGTACAAATGATTTTGCTAACAGACAAACAAGCAGTATAACACTTTTGAATGTTATAACTAAAGTTTTATTTCAAAAATAAACAAAGTTTTGATGGATTTCTCTATATATCCTTGTGCATTGAGAGAACGATAAACGGATCGTCCCAGACGCCACCCAACCCAGATAGCGGTTAGCGACGCTGGCTGCCGTTCCGAAGGGCCAGTTTCGAATCTCGGACAAGGCACAGATGTTTGTAAATGCATAGTGTCTGTGCGGCATAGAGTCAAAAGTTCTCTCGAGATGTTGATGGTAAAAAAAAAAAGAGTGTTGGGTGACCCTTGGACCCATCCTCTCGGGATGCTCCCCATCAAAATTTGTGGCGGAATTGAGCAAAGTCATACTATCACCTGTATTATGCTCAAGGCTCTTGAAAACGAGAGGTGCAATCTTACACACACATTTCGTGAGCTTGTTCTTATGTTACTATCAAGCAAGTGATAATAACAAGTGAAATTTGCTTCATGGAAAGTCACGATAACAAGTGAATTTTTTTTTTTTTTTTTTTTTTTTTTTTTGTAATTCGATTTTAAATTAAAATTTCAGTCAGGGTTTTTTTTTATTTTTATTTTATTGTATTAGAGAGAAACTGTCTTTTAAAAACTGTGTATATTAAGGAGATTTATCCGAATCTCTAACCGGCTTAGAGGGAAACTTTGCTATAGAAATGCTATATTAAATGGGATTTGCTTGTATGAAAACAAATCGCGTCTAAATAAATAACAATTTCTTGAAAGATGAAGGTGAAATTAATATTATCATCAGTAAAATACTGATCTCTCGTAAAGACTAATAGTCTAATAATTTTCATACGTCGAAGGAAAATCATACAAATTTTCATTTTCTCTTTTTTTTCAATCAAAAATAAGATAATAGAACTTTTATGTTGCATAAATTTACTAATTTATCAACAGAATTTTTATAATAATGATTTCCATTTTCCATAATTTTATCTCAATAAATAATACATCCGTAGTATTATATTATCATGAAATCCCGTTTTGCAATAAAGAAAGTATGTGAGGTTTATAAAAAAAGTATGAGCAGAGGAAAGTTTTTTAAATTACATGGAAATTTTTAAATTACTTATAATTTAGATTTTTTTGTGGTTTTCATTTCGTTTATCTAACGAAATCACAAAAAAATGTTCCTTTAAGTTCACGGCTAAATAGCTATGAAAATTTTTACTTTATTCCTACTCAACTGAATTTTCAAAAAAAAAAAAAAAAAAAAATTATTATATTTCAGTTGCCTACAGGGAAATCAAATTTTGTATCTAAATAAAATATTAATTTGTGAGATAAAACTTTAATCAAAGGAAAAGGAAACTATAGAGGAAAGGTGTCCCAGCAAAATTATTCAGTAATTCGAGAAATGATGATAACATATCACGCAAATAGTATCACTTTTTCCCACTTACGTTCGGCATCTTGGTATCTAAACGGTCTTCAAAGGATTGTTTTCCTTCGTACGCTGCGTTCAAGGTATACGAGTTAATACAGACCAGTACGGAGACGCGAATTTTTTCCCCCATGCTCGTGCTTTTGGCTTCAGGGCTTACGCAAGTGTCCTTCAAGGTCATGTGACCTTTTTATTACGCGGTCTTTGCAAAAAGGAGTTTTATTTGCACCGATGTCCGATTCAGGATGAAGATGATGGGTAGTTTCTCCGTAATTCTTGTAGCCCTTTTGTTCTGGGTGACTTTCTTTCATGCGGAGACTGCCCGCATCGACAACAGGGATGGGGGCTATTTGAATGAAAATATTGTGGAAACGGTTGCGGATACGGAAAAAAGAGTGAAAAAATTGGTGAATTCTGGAGTGAAGATGGCTTTGCCCTATATGATGAGTGCTGTGACAGAAATTCGATTGAACCAGAGTTGTATGCGGGGACTGCTGAAATTAATGAGGGGTGTAATGGACATCAGAGATTGGGCAATGAGAAGTAAGTGAACGAATTTTTTTAACTATGAAGGTTTTTTTAATTCAAATAATAACAAGTTGTTAAAAATTTAATATTTTAAATTTACATTTGGAATAACAAAAATTAATAAATGTTAAAAAAGTGCTGTTAAAGATATCTAGGCTTATTGTTCTTAACTGCTATAAAATGGTTATTATTACATATTAAAAAACTACATCATTTAAAATGCGAATAAATCATAAAATTAAAATTTATTAATTTATATTAATTAATTAATCTAAATTAAAAAGAGGATTTTTCAAAATAGGAATTAATTTTTATCCATGTATTAACGAATGGTTTAAAGTACTAATTTTAATTTTTGCAGTGATGAATGTTATAAAATGTCGAAAATATTATTTGATTCGAATAACAACAATATTAAAAATTTTTATTCAAATACTAAACGCGATTTTTCAAATTCACATATTGTTCAAATGTAAAATGTAATTTGTATTTAAATGCAGTAAAGCACTTTATTCAATGCAGAAGGAATACTTGCTGTTGAAAAATTCCAAATCTAAATTTTCACTATAAGTGTAAAAATTCGAGAATTTTTTTTATGTCAATCTATACCATTTATGAGCACGAATTAATCCTTAAAATAATACATAATGCATCAAAATATTTTGAAATATATAATAATTGATATTTTTGAAACCAGATACTAGAAAACTATGCTGAAAATGCAACTTTTACTAAAAATTTATCTGAAAATATTACCCCTTCCTTTTACAATGCACTTGAAACTAATGACAAGATACTAAAACGGTGTAAGGTTTATCCTAAGATTTTAACAGTTTTCTTTAGTTAAAGCTTTTTTCCTATCCTTCTTAGTTTCAGCTTAAAATTTCCTACCAGAATGTGCTTTTAGAATCGCGGCTAATGCAAATGTGTAAGAGCAGTATTTAAATCAAAGTTCCGCTGACTTCGTTAGACAGCCAGAGATTCTACCTTTTGGCTTCACTTTCTCTAAGCTATTATTACGCTCGGCCTTATCTCAGGTCCTTGATAGCTTCGCGAGCTTAATTGATATTTAGGGCCAACTACTTAGACATCTTGATATCTTCGGCTATATCTTTTTCTGAAGCTGTAGTTAAGTTTCATTTCTTTTACTTTGAGTTCAAGCCAAGGTGAAGGCTTTACTGTACATCCTGAGAAAGGGACCACCGGTGAAATTCTTATTTTGAGAAATAAAACGTAATTAACCCTTCTTGAGTCTTAAGTATCTGTTTCTGAGAGAATAGTCGCTTACCTGTTCACGGGGTTCCTAAACACTTAGATGTTAGATAAAAGGTTGAAACCCACAACGTAAATTTTTACTGTGGAAAGTCTCCGTTTTTATTTAAATTAACTAAAATAATGTATAAAAATTTACGTAACTAATATATTATTATTTGAGTATTTTCCTTTATTTTTTTCTTTCTTCATTTAATTTTTTCCCTGGAAGATTTACGATGCCAGACTTTCTACAAATAAAATCCAAATTTTAAATACTTTTCCAGATGTATAAAATTTAGAAGTGCTGAATATATTTTTAGACGGCCTGAAGTTCATTCAATATAAATCAATATATTTCTAATTTAAATTAAAATGAATATTAAACTTTCAAGTATAAAGTAATAAATCGTGGTATTCTAATACAAAAATAACTGAAAAGCTATTAATATGTATCCTTTCTTTTTACACAAAGATTTTATTAATTTACAACTAATGAAACTTTTAAATCATAATCGAACTTTTGGTTTGGTTTGGTTTTTGTGATTATGACAAAACCTCGAGGGCTATCTGCCTAAGGGAAGGGATGCCGCTGTGGAGGATATTCTAAAAAAAACTGTCTCGTGTACACATTACACATGGGGAAAAACACGAAGGCGCCCTTGCAACCAGCTTGTTCGTGGGATTCGAACCTTAGACTGAACTACCAGTGTTCAACGACTTTACCGCTCAGTTGAGGCTCACCAGCGGCCGAGCGGTAAAATCTGAACACTGGTAGTTCGGTCCGAGTTTCGAATCCCGCGAACGGGTTGGCTGCATGGGCGCTTTCGTGGTTTTCCCCATGTTTAATGTGTATACGAGTGTTCTACAAAAAACTGGTTCGCAATTACGTTAAAGACGGAAGGAGGTTTTCAGTCTTCTCTGAATGTAGTGTAAATAGAGTCACTTTACCACATCGAATGGTCCACTATTGACAAACTGCGTAAGGCTGGTGAATACCGCGATGTGCGTCGTTGCAACAGTTTTTTAGTGCATGCATTTCAACTTAAAACAATACGCATGTGTATAAAGATATTGAGTTTAAAATAGCCTATTTGCGTTTGATAGAACCGGGAACATCAGTTTACATAGCTGTGGTGACTCACTCGAACTTAATTTATGTGATATACAAATGTATGCGCGGTACTGTACTCCACCTCCGGTGGTGGCATCATTTGCTTGCCTAAGTAAATCCGCCATAGTAAGGAACAATTGTTAGAAAACAGCCTACTTCATTGAATTCATATTGTTTACGAGTTGAATGCATGATCGAAAAACAACTGACGGGCCAGATCTTTTTTAACAAAACGAAGAATTTTATTAACAAAATAATATCGCAAAGGAATAAAATTCAAGTTTATTATTATTTGTTATCCAAAAATCTAAACTTTTTTACCTGTAAGATGTTTTTGTTGGTTACACTTTGTAATTCAAATATAGTGAAAGCTAAATATTAAATTCTTAGACTGATATTTCTTTCAAATTATTTTCGCATTTTTAATTATTAATTAAATAACTTGATTTATTTTAAACTAAAAACAAACAAATTAGAGTTCATTCAAGTTAAAGAAATTAGAGTAATTCAAGTTAGAGAGATGGAAAATTTATTATGCGGGGCAGAACTTAAGAATCAATAATGACAACGTAATACCTCTTACTTAATAAATTCTTAAACACATGAATAAAAACGCATGTGTTCTTATGCAAATAATTATAAGCTTCTTTATTTCTTACTACAGCTTAATACTTGATGGTGTTTCAATACTGATAAAACTTGTAACCTTTGAGAGGAATTACTAGAAATTATCTTCATCGCGGATTGTAGATGCTCTTTGATCAATCATGTTCTTTGCTTATTTTTGTCTGTGAAAGAAAACTGTTCACATATAAATATGTTCCCAAGCAAAATAATTATTCCTAGGAAAAAAATTCATAACTGATCTCCTTAATTTTTGACAAATACGAATAAAATTAATAAAATTATCTTTTCAATTTTTTGAATAAAATTTACGTCAAATTATAAATTAATGAACTCCATTTATAGACATTATAGTGTCTCATACATGTTAATTTTTAATGTAAAAGGTAACAATGCAAACTATGACTTCAAATAAGTATAATCTTGAAATCTTTGTAATACGTATTTGCAATAAATATATAATTGAAATGCCTTTGGAGGCTGCATGCCCCGCTGGTCTCTAATTTGAGACCACTGACCTACTTCATAACCAGAGAAAGCACAAAAGGGCGTAAGCCAAATTTTGCGAACTGTGTTTGCCTAAAGTCGACGGTGAACACAGATGGCTCTAAGTTGGAAAAAACAACCAAGACGGAATAAATTGGCTCCAAAGGGCTTTCGTAGTCTTCCCTGTATGATTTGGATTGGTTTATGTGATTATGACAAAGCCTTAAGGGCTATCTGGCTAAGGAAGAGATGCCTTCTTGGAAGACTTTCTAAGGGAAACTGGCTAGTATGGACGTTACACATGGAGAAAACAACGAAAACGCCCATACAACCATCCCGTGCGCGGGATTCGAACCTCGGACTTAATTACCAGTGTTAAGCGACTTTTCCGTTCGGCCGTTGGTGGACCCGTCTTCCCTGTATATAACAAGACTATGAACTAAATTGTTTTAAAAAGATCTTCTCGGTAATATCTCTCGTCTTAAATACATGGTCTTTAAACGCTTTATCAAAATCGATAGCTCACGTCATTTTAAAAATATGGATATCTGTCTCGCTGCAGACAATGGGATGGACTTAGGAGAAAGGTCGGACAACAAAATGCGTGTATTATTTTATTGCAAGAAAAATATGAAAAGAATTTAATGCAGCGAAAATACCATATATTTCACAGAAAAAATATAAAACATATTTCTAAATAGAAATGCGTATTATGATTGATTCACCTATCGAGGAATATGTTGTAGAAGTTTCTATTACGTTAAGTTTAAACGTTATATACCAAAGCAAAAGGAATTTTTTCTAATAAAATTTTAAAATGAGTTGGTTATAAAGTCAAGAAATCGCTCTTAAGCAGGCCTATGCAACATATTGGATAAATCTCGAATATAGAATCTGATTTTGTTTCTAAGTTCAGCATAATTTCTTTGCTACAACGGCATCGAGAGCGATCGAATTTTTTATACACTTAGTCCGTTTCCCAACTTTCAAATTTAATCTTTCTGTTACTGAAGACCAAACGAAGTAACTGAAAAGCAATAAACGCAGTTCTTAAAATTAATTTTATACTTTTTAATATGATTGATTTAAATTAAAAATGCATTTAAAATGCATTTGCGACGTCAAATTAGAAATATTAAAATTTTTATGAAATGACACTAGCTGGATTCCTTAAAATCACTATATACATTTTCATTTCATTATATCTCGTTAAGGTGGCTGGCCGCTCGAAAAGCTAAATTTCAAAGAAATAATATTGCAAATATGAAACTCCTACCATTCTGCAAGGAATTCTAAAGATAAGTTGTTTTTAAATATTTAAGATTTTGCTCTTGATATTTATATGGCGTAAATGTGAAGAAAATTATACTTAATTATAAGCTAAAACGATAAAAAGAAATTGTGCTAGCAGGTGTGACTTCATGAGCAGATTAGTAATCAGTGATGCTCAACGAGAGCATAAATAAAACCTTAATATGTTAACTATTAACGTTTTAACCTTAATAATTTAAGGTTTAAGGTTTAACGATTTAAGGTTTTT